GCATCTTCCTCTGCCTGGGTTCAAGCAATTCCCCTGCCCCAGCCTCCTCAGCAGCTGGGATTACAGGCATATACCACCATGCCTGGCTAAATTTTGTATTTTTAGTAGACGGGGTTTTACCATCTTGGCCAGACTGGTCTTGAACTCCTGACGTTGTGATCCACCTGCCTCAGCCTCCCAAAGTGCTGGGATTACAGGCATGAGCCAACACTCCTGGCTGCCAATGAGCTTTTTGTTCATCGTTCTTCAAGGTGTCCCCACGCTGATGGGCAGGCAGCGGCTGTCACCTGCCTGGGGGCTGCATCCTAGACCCGCCTAGTGTTTCAGACTGTGCTTGCAGATTCCTCATGACCTGGAAGAGCCAAGGACCAGGCCCTTGTAGGCCAGGGTTTGGGGCCCCCTCAGTTGCCCAATAGCTGTGGGGCCTTGGCAGTCACTTAACACCTTTCTGTTTAATTTCCATATCTGTGAAATGGATACTAGTGACCACCCACCTTAAATATCCTCCAATGAGCATTTCTCAGTGTTGGTGCTACTATCATTTTTAACCGGATAATTTTCCACTGTGAGAGGCTTCCCTGTGCATTGTAGGGTGTTGAGCAGCATCCCTGGCTTCTCCCCTTGTGACAGCTGAAAATGTCTCCAGATATTGCCACATATCCCCTGGGAGGGGTACAAAAATTGCCCCAGTTGAAACCCTTTGCTTTTGACAGCTCACCGTTATAAAACCATTTTATAGCTGTCAGAAACACTTCCAGGCCGGCTGTGATACTGATAGTGTCTCTTCTCACCTCTTTCCTGGGATAGGATGGGTTGTGAGGGTGTTGACAGGTCAGGTTAATGGAAAGAGAACGTGGGGCTGGGAGCTAACACTTGTGGCCTACACAATCCCCTCACACTTGGAAAACCACCCCGGGCCACAGGACAGTGCTAGATGGAGTCCTGGGGCAGTTGGCTGGGTCTCCCTTTTGACACCCCTTTGGGTCAGTAAAAGGCAGAGGGACACATTTTGGCATTTGTTCTTCATTCATGTTTATTGAGCATCTAGGCTGCCCCAAGTATCCTGGAGGCCGCCTGGGAAGGTGCGATCTCCAGCCAGACTGACCGAGCAGCTGCTCTCCCCCACTGCAGGTCGCTGCGGAGGAGCTTTGCTGTCTGCTAGGCCAGGTCTTCCAGGTTGTTTACACGGAGTCCACCATCGACTTTCTGGACAGAGCGATATTTGATGGGGCCTCCACCCCCACCCACCACCTGTCCCTGCACAGCGGTATGTTGAGTGAGAATGGGCAGCGGGTGTGAGCAGGGACAGGAGGGGCTACTTCAGGGGACCCAGCTCCCATGAGTTACTCCTGGAATAGTGCAGTTACTGCAGTGACATGGTGACTTTGTTTCCAGACTTTGCTGTTCACATTAGTCCATAGGGTTTCCTCAAGGCAGAAATGTCACCTGTCCTTCAGGGATTTACACCAGGTCAGCCTGGTGGCTTCCTGGCATAAATTTGGGGTCTGTGAACACTTTCTGGAACCTCTTGTGGCTAAAGTCACTTCACTTAGAACAAAGAGCCGGGAGAAAGCTCCTAGCAGTGGGGCCTATGACGGAATTGGGGAGGCTGAGTGGGCCTGGGGAGCCTTCCTTTTAGTATGCCCAGACCATGGCTGCTCTTAATGTGAGGCTCCTTCCAGGACCATGGCCAGACCCATGGGAAGCTGCTCAGGCTGCCCTGGGAGGCCAGCTGGCAGCAGTAGAGCAGTGGCAGATGGGGAAGAATCCAGGGAACCAGGAGCTGCCTCCTCTTGCATGTCCCACACAGCATTTTCAGGAGTCTGTTAGTCCATTAAAAATACTTCATCAGCAAGTTCACTTAAGCCTTTAAAAACACCAAGATCATCTGTTTTTTCATCTATTTTTTTTTTAGATTTATTACTTATTGAGGATTAATGGTTTACATAAATTGGGTACATAGAAAGCTACTGGACAGTATAGCTTGTTGAGTGCAATTTCTTCTTTTTATGGAGATAAGTCCCAGCCCTCTACCTTTTCCCCAGTAACTCATACACCTCCGTGAAGAGAGTAAATGGTGTTACATCATGGAGATCCCTGGGGAAACCGGCATGAGAGCTGCTGCTTAGTTCCTCCTCCCTCCCTTTCTTGCTGCTAGTACCAGAGCCCTTTGTGGGTGCCGCACGCCCTGTGTTGGCGCAGCAGCTGCAGAGAGGACAGCTGCTGAGCTCCATCTCTTTTAGTCCGCAGTGACCCAGTGAGATAGGTGCAGTCTTCTCCATTTTAGAGATGGGGAAGTGGAGGCTTAGAAGTCAGCAGCTCATCCAGAGGAATGTACCATGTGAGGAGCAGGTGGTTTATCAATCTGTAATTAAACCTTCAGTTTTAGTGTGATTGGATTGGCCCTTGTGCTTTAAAATTCCCAAAAGACCTTTTTTTCTTTAATTTTTTTTTTTTTTTTTTTTTTTTTTTTTTTTTTT